CAGGTACCCTGCATCTGCAGCTGCTGCTGCAGCAGCTGTTCACGGAGCCAGCGGAAGCGGCTGCAGCTGCTGCAGCTGCTGCAGCTGCTGCAGCAGCAGGCAGTGATAGCCAGAAACCTGCAGACTCTGCAGCTTCTGCTGCTTCTGCTTGTTCTGGGGCTGCTCACTCCGGACCACCCGTATTTGTTCTGCAGCAGCAAACTGTTTTCTGTGCTGCACTGGACGAGGCCCTTCAGCTGCTGCTGCCGTCATCCTTGCAAGCTACTGCAGGAGCGGAAGCTGTAGCTCCGCCGCTGCCGAGCCGCGAAAACAGCAACAGCAGCCCAAGTAGCAGCAGCAGGAACAGCAGCAGCAGCTGCTGCACGGGCCATGCTTGCGGGGAGCTGCTGCGGGTATTGCGTATACTGACAGCAGCAGCAGAAGTTCGTCTTGCTGCAGTGCAGCGGAGCCCCTTAGCGCTGGCTGAGCCGCAGATGGGGCTGCACGGAATCCTTGGGGTTCTGGAGGTTTGTCTCACCACAATTAAACCCAGCCTGCTGCAGGGCGCATGCAGCAACAGCAGCAAGCCAGGCAGTTGCAGCTGCAGAGAGGCAGTGCGAGCCTGGAGGGACTGGCAGCAGAGGCTGCTGCGACTGCTACTGAGCATTTGCCGTTGCCTTACTTCTTTTGTTGCTGCTGGAGACGAAGAAGATACACCCCAGCTGCCCCCGACAGACACAGACGCAGACGCAGCAACAACAGCAACGGCAGCAGGCGAAGCAGCAACGAAAGCAACAGACATGAAAGGACGTCAAGGGCCACTGGAGGGGACGGCCAACAGCCAGGCACCGGCTGCAGCAGCTGCTGCCCGGTCTGCCAGCAGCAGCAGCAGCAGCAGCAGCCACGAGCCGCAGCGCCAACAGCCACAGCTGCAACGGCAGCACTTCGACCAGCAGCAGCAGCGGGGGCAACAGGAGCAGCAGTCACAGCAGCAACAGAAGCAGCAGGCTATTCAGGTGGACTGTCGGGGCCATTTGGTAGTTTGCCGTGAGGACGGCGGAGACACAGAAGCACAGCAGCAGCTGCTGGCCTTTTGCTCCTGGAGGGCTGTGAAGGGCGCCACAGAATGCCTTACGGCCCTATGCAAGCTCGCTCCATTCGAGCAGCCCACAGCAGCAGCAACGGTCGAGGAAGCTGCAGCAGCAGCAGCAACGACAGCAACAACAACAG